TATGCGTCAATAAACTTTCAGAGGAGCGATCACAGCGCTCTGTGTCATCAGCGATGTGTCTCTCTCCCTGCCTGTTCACAGATCAGCTTCTCTGATTGGTTGATGCGGCGAGCAGCAAAAGTTAAATTTTTCCATCTCGAGAAGCAGCGCGTTTGCGGCGCGTCAGATGCTTAAACGCGCCCGACGCGCTGCTTCAGCTGCTCAAAATGCGCTGCGGGACCTTTTGCTGCGCCTTGACGCGCGTCAACCATTGACTTTGCATGTAAACTCGCTGCTTCTGCTGCGCCTGCTGCGTCCGGTGTGAACGTAGCATAACAGCAGCCACGTTAAGGACAGAGGCGTTTAGAAACATTTTTTTTTTTATCTTCAGCGTTTAAAGCTCTTGGTTGAGGCTTAACTTGTATATTTCTACTGTATTTCTACTATATCCATAAATAACCAACAGCTGGGAAGGACCTAACAGTGTTGATCCTAAGCCGCAAGATATTTTCAAGAAAGTAAAAAAACAAAAATCAATCCACTGGACTTTGTTTCCAACTTTGAAGACGTTTCTCTTCCATCCAGGAAGATTTTTCAATTAAAAATGTCAGAAATAGCGTTTAGTTCCAGGTTTTATAGAATGGACTAAAAAGAAAGCCTGGTTTTAGTTTAGAAAACATGCAAATAGAAACGGATGAACGGGTCCCCCCCTTTGGAATGGGGGTCGTTTGGCTTCTTTGTTAGCCTGCAATAACTGAAACCTGTCTATGTCTCTGAAAGGGGGGTTGTTAGAGGGAATAGTTGGTCTGGCTGAACAGGCGAGGTCTTCTGTTGGGGCTGCGATGATAGCAGGAAGGAATCAACTCTATTGCTGCATTGTAGGTTTTGAAAGCCGAAATCTGCGGCGTTCACCGCTCTGTTGTGGTGAAGAGAGAGCAGAGTCAAAAAGCAAAGCTCTCGATTTACCGGTTGTCTATGGTCATGACCGAAAGAACGAGATCCCGGATCCAAGCGGCTGAAAGGAGTTTTCTCCGTAGTGTGTCTGGGCTCTCCCTTAGAGATAGGGTGAGGAGCTCAGTCATCCGGGGAGGACTCAGTAGAGCCGCTGCTCCTCCACATCGAGAGGAGCCAGTTGAGGTGGCTCAGGCATCTGGTTAGGATGCCTCCTGGACGTCTCCTTGGTGAGGTGTTCCAGGGACGTCCCACTGGGAGGAGGCCAGTGGGACCCGACCCCAGATAAGCGGAAGCAGAATGGATGGATGGACATAGATGGCTTCCTTCACTCCCCTCTCAAACCAGCTGTCTTCTTTGTCCAAAATGTGAACATTCTGGTTCCTCAAACCAACCTTTGTCCAT